TAATATCAATGCATACAATACAACTGTCTATTCATTACATGTACAACTACTGTAGCAAATGGTACAACTATTAAATGCACAAGGTACAAGTAATTAATGAATGAACAATGTTTTTTTAATGATAGCTGTGACTCATCCCTTTGCGGAGCACATTGCGTATTTTGCATTGTTTGCAATCCCGTTGATGTCTGTAGTCCTCAGCGGGACTGCATCAATTGCAGCAATGAGTGGATATATTACTTACATTGATATAATGAACAACATGGGCCACTGCAACTTTGAGTTCATACCCAAATCAGTTTTCACTATCTTCCCTCCTCTCAAGTACATCATCTATACCCCATCGTAAGTGTCATGTAACAAAATTTTGTGTTTGATTTGACATATATTTAAATCAAATAAATTAAGTTTAAAGTGATTATTGATTTGTTTTTCATAGGTACCACTCATTGCACCATACTCAATTTCGCACAAACTACTCGCTTTTCATGCCATTTTATGACTATATCTATGGTACGATGGACAAATCTACAGACACATTGCACGAGAATTCACTATGCCAGAAAGAAGAGTCACCAGATGTCGTGCATTTAACACATCTAACAAACACCAGACTCCATCTATCACATGAGGCTTGGATTTGCCTCTTTAGCCTCTAAACCACACACTTCCAATTCCAAATGGTACTTGTGGATTCTATGGCCCATTACACTTTGGTCCATATTGATCACTCGAATTTATGGCAAAACGTTGGTAGTCGAAAGAAACGTCTTCAAATGTCTAAAACTACAAACTTGGGCTATACCAAAATACATGATACAAGTATGATGGCGTTTCTTTATATATATATATATATATATATATATGATATATATATATATATATATCTATTAATATATATATATATATATATATATTTTCTTATTTTATTTTATTTTCAAGATCATTAATGAATGTTTGATATGTAGTACCATATTGACCGGCAAAGAAAAAACATCAATGGTTTTATTGAAGAAGCTATAGTAGATGCTGACGTAAAGAAGGTGCAAGTGTTGAGCCTCGGTCTACTTAATCAGGTTTAAACTTATCTATTTTTTTAAGAGCATCAACCAGTGTAGGTTCTTAAATGTTAAGAAGCAGTTTATAGAAAAAGAGAGCATAGTGGAATTGGGTTTTGGTCTTTTACTTGGCATCAAAAAAGTTAACTGCATTAAGCTTTCCAAACAGATATGTGGGCCCCTAGCACTTACATACCTTTATGTTATGTAAAACGGAAAATATATTTTGAAATTTTTTGTTATTTAACCAATTTATTTCACTTTTCTTGATAAAAGTTGTGATAATCTTTTAATATTGAGTATTTTGACCATGTGAAAGTGGTTATAATGCTAAAAAGACTTCAGTCTATGTTTTTTTTTACTATATAACTCCTATTACTTTTTATTAAAAGAAGAAATCACGTGTTGTAAAAAATAACCATGCGCCTGTTTTTTTTGGTTGCTAACCCACCTTGCGCTCTAGTACTTGCTTTTTTTTTTTTTTTTTTTTTTTTTGTCTTTTTAACATATGTCAATACACATTTTCATCTCATTTATTTATGTTAAGGATACAATTTGTTTCCCTTTTTGAAAGATATATTATACGCCATTTATTTGTAATAGAGATATACAAATGTATATATTATGATTAATATATTATGTAAAATATAATATTTAATCTTACTAGTAAAAGATATCATTATTATTTTGTTTATTAGTAGTTGAAACTTATCTAGTTGTTTTTATGTGTTTTGCCTTCTACAAATATATTTCATAGCCCTTTTTAATTTATCATAAATATGTAGTAAATTTAAATAATTAAACCACTACAAATAGCTAAGTTGTACATTCAAAGTGAAAATAGCTATCGAAACTTTTTTATCTTAAGTTTTACTTTTGGTTTTATGACAATGAAACTAATGTTTAATATAATTTCAGTTTTAATGGAAATGTTAATTTAAGGATATATATATATATATATATCTATATATATAATATATATATATATATAGCTTATATCTATAATCTATATTAAATCATTACATAAACTAATAAATTGGTGTTGACGTTGTTCTGACGTTGTTCTGGATATTTAAAAAAGTGTATACTATTATAGGTGTTTTAAGCTCACCAGGTAAAACTTGGACATCCCATACGGTCTGTCTCAAATTTAAATATTTTAGGATTTCAATCAATGATTATAAAGAAAATGGTGTTTAACTCGGTTCTGAAAAAGGCCATTTCGTATATTATCATCGAAGTCGAACACTCTCCATATCATCACAAAACGGGGAGCCATAGTAGACAGTCAAATGTGGTGTTTATTATTTATTAACAACAAACTTGATTTTTACTATTTATTAACATCAAATTTTATGTTAAAGTTTTACATGTCATATTTTGGATTTTCAAATTTAAATTTATAAATATTAAATTTATTTAAGTTTTTTCAAATTTAAACTTATATACTTTGATTTAATTTAACTGCATTGTTACAATTTCTAATTATGGCGGCTTCAAATATACTTAAAAATATAGTATTTTATAATAATGCAACTTTTTATTTAATAAAAAGATTATTTAAATATAACAATAAATTTTAACTCGTTATATACGGATGTAGCTTTATATTTATTTAATATGAAAATAATTAAATTTGAACTAATTAGATATATTTTGAATGTAGCTATCTATGAATTTAATAATATGATTTTAAAGTTACTGTCATAAAAAGATGGAAGGTAAATTTGTAAAAGATAATAAATAGTATGGATAATTTTGAAAACATAAGTAAGTTAAAATCATAATATAGTTAGAATAAATAACAGATGAAAAAAATAAATAATAAAAAATAATATAAACTAAAAAATATATAAAATAATAATCAAGAAAGATATTATTGTCATTTCATATCCGATGGAGATCAATCGTGCAAGTTTAAAACTAACCGAGACTGTATGAGTGAAAAACAAAACATAGCAACGAAATGTGTAAGTTTAGTCAAACTAGATTAATTTAGGCTATAATAATATAATATATATATTCTTCTACCATTTCTTGTGAATGATATCTCAAATGTTTTTTAAAGACATGGAAAGTTTTATTTAAGGAAATCTTTGAGATAATTGTTAGAAGGATATAATGTTACTAATTATTAACATAGTTTATGTATTACATGGATAATTACTAAATGTAAATTAATATATGCTTAACGATTTAGGGGGAGGAACTGAACAGAAATGGAGAGTTATTCATAAGAAGAAATCCAAGTGTAAATGTGAAGTTAGTGGATGGAAGTAGTTTAGTAATTGCAGTGGTGTTAAACAACATTCCAAGGGGGACTACTCAAGTTGTGTTTAGAGGCAACTTCAACAAGGTTGCTGCCTACCTTGCCCTTACACTATGCCAAAAGGGCATCCAGGTCATTTCTTTTTCTTCTTCATTTAGTGAGTTAAATCTTTTCCCGATCTATTGTATTTTTGACTTATTGGTATAAAGTTCATAAGGATACAATATTCGGGGTACTCACCAGGCAACTTTTATGTTTGTTACCATGGAAAGAAAGAAAATCCATAATCTGCAAAATTATCAAAAGAGCATAATATAATTAGAATTATATATGTATATATGTATACACCTCTATTTTTGGGTTAATGTAATATATAGGTAACAAATTATTATCTTTCACGAAACACCATTATTTTAAAAAAGTACAATAAGAAGGATATTTTGTAAAAAAAAAACAAATAGTTCTTAGACCAAATTACATAAATGGTCCTTGTGGTTGACAGAATAGACCAACTTTAGTCCTGATGACGAATTGTTTGCATAGATAGTCCTTGTGGTTTCAAAATGTTGCAAAGACGGTCCTTTAGGCTAACGTTGTTAAAATTTTCAGTTAAGTCCTTTGTAAAATTACACATTTACCCTTCCTGTCATAGGGACCGTTTATGTAATTTGTTAAAGCCACATGGACCATTTATGTAATTTTGTCTATTATTTATTAGCTTTATATTTTACTTATTTATATTTTTTATGAATTAACTTTTTTGATGTTTTTTCTAATTTTTTATTTTTTTCGCTTATATTTTGTTGATTTTTTTGTTCCAATAAATTTCTTAAAAAATTTCGACACTTTATTCGAATACATGTATTAATTTTTTTTATGTTTGGTTTGAATAAATTTAATTGATGTTCGCTCGAATACATTTTTAACATTTTTAATATATATATATTTTTTACGTTTTGTTTTTTATAGGGTAATGAGTAATCTAACCATTTTTGTATTGTAACTTTTTTTTTTAAATAACCATTTTTATTTTATTTGAAAAATAACAACTTAGTCCGGAATTCGAAAAAATGTATTCTGCTTGTGAAAATCTCCAACATTTGTGGGTATGTGTCAATTTTTTGTATGATTATATGTTCAAAATAAAGTTGAAGTGTTTTTTGTATGATTATATGTGATTAACTGGAAATAATTCGTTTATATTCGTTTTCGGAAGTTATTTTTGATTAATTGAAATTATTTTTTAAAGTAGTACGGATTGGAAATATTTCATTTTGCTTCGATTTTTTATAATTATATGTGATTAATTCCAATTAATCAAAATTAACCACCGAAATCGAAGCAAAACGAATTATTATCAAATAATCACATATAATCATACAAAAACACTTCAACTTTATTTTGAACATATAATCACATATAATCATACAAACAATTGACACATATCCATAAATGTTGGAGTTCTTTACGGGTAGAAGACATTTTTCGAAGTTGGAGTAGCCTGGAACGGATAAGCCCAAAACATAGTATGAAATTGATGTTTTGGACTAAGGGACCACAATACCGAGCTGGATCTGACACGTTTAATAATGCGGCCCATAATGTATACACTGTTGACTAAGTGGTTATTTAGAAAAAAAAAGTGGTTATTTTTTTATAAAATGCAATAAAAAATATGGTTAAATTACTCAATTTCCCTATAAAAAAACAAAAAGTAAAAAAAATAAAAGCATTAAAAATGTATTCGAACAAAACAACAAAAAAAGTATTCGAACAAAACATAAAAAAAAACATTAATAAATGTACTCGAATAAAACATCAAAAAATTTAAGAACTTTATTTGAACAAAAATATCAACAAATATAAGTGAAAAAAATATTAAAAAAAATTAAATAATATATTTGAACAAAACGTCAAAAAAATTTAATTCATAAAAAATATAAATTAAAAAATAAGAAGATAATAAATAATAGACAAAATCACATAAATGGTCCGTGTTGCATGAACAAATTACATAAACGGTCCCTATGACAAGAAGGGCATATGTGTCATTTCGCAAAAGGCTTAACTGAAAAAGTTAACACCGTTAGTTAAAAGGAGCATCTTTACAACATTTTGAAACCGTAAGGACCATCTTTGCAAACAATTCGTCATAAGGACTAAAGTTAGTCTATTTTGTCAACCACAAGGACCATTTATGTAGTTTTGTCTAGTTCTTACTTATTTACAGCATTAACCATATTGTAGGTTGCAATATCTCGAGAAGACGATCATGTGATGTTGAAATCCAAGCTCAAATCAACTAATGGCCATGATAAGCTGGTAATTTCAAAGACTTACTCTCAAAAGGTACGTTATCTTCTTATCTTCTTCTTATCATCATCATCTAGAAAGAGTACATAATCAAAAGTCATTAATTAAGTTTTCAACAACATTTATTTAAATTGTATAGATTGCTCACAACATTTACACAAGATGTTTGTTACTAAAAGTTGATGCTTAGTTTTATTGGATGTTTATTTAATTTTTTGAAGACATGGTTGGTGGGAGATGGACTTAGCGAAGAAGAACAACTAAAGGCATCAAAAGGAACTCTTATCATTCCATATTCTCAATTCCCTCCGAAGAAAGTGCGCAAAGATTGCTTTTACTATACCACACCATCAATGTTAGCTCCCAAACACCTTCAGAATGTTGATTCGTGTGAGGTGAGTACGAAGGCTACAATCTACGTAGGGTTCTTTCTTTAAAAACATAATGACAAAATATAGTACAAATTATCACTTTTTGCTCCATTAAACGACTTATGGTTATCGCGATACTTGAACTCATAAAACTTGTATATCTTGAAGGACGTGCATATGGCTTAAAGAAATATTTATAGTGAAACATACTTATAAGGTTTTTAATATAAAGTCACAATTAAGAAGGAAACAGTCGAGTGGAGAAAGATAACGTCGAAATTATTCCTAAAATGCATGAATGACATGTGTGTATGCATGTGGATGTTCTATGCATTCACATAAAACCACTAACACGTACCAAATTTTTTGATTTCTCATAATTGGTGAGGCTTTGCATATAGTACTGATAATTATTTGGTGTTTTAATTCGACAGAATTGGTTACCAAGAAGGGTGATGAGTGCATGGAGAATTGCAGGGATAGTTCATGGGATAGAAAGATGGAACGTGAACGAGTGTGGGAATGAAATCTTCAACATCGACAAAGTATGGGAAGCAAGTCTCCGACATGGATTTACTCCACTCATGAAATCATTCACTTAAGCTGCAAGTGTTCGTACCAAAGGGTATCTGTTACACCCTTGTAAGTGATTATGATTAAGAAATAATGTTACTAGCTGAGTGTGTGTTTTTATTTTTATGATTTTATGGCTTCCTAGCTGGTCTCTATTTTGGGAAGAAACAATCTATGATATGATGTTAAAATTTTAAGAAAGCCAAGACACATTTCTTTTGTTTAATGGTACTTAAGTGCATTGCTTTCAAAATTGGAATTGGTCATCCTATTTGTTTGATGGTTCAAGCGGTTGAAAAAACCGGATGCGTCATTAATATATCCTAATTAAATGTAAATTTATAATAAATAGAAAATATACAAAAGAAAAAACCATCTAAAATTAAAATACTAATGAAAATATGAAACTTAAATTTTGAATAGAGATAGACATAAAATGGTTTTTAAAATAACCTTTGAACACCCATTAACTTTTGTAGTTAATTAATTGAAAAATAACTAATATAATTATATATATATTAAATACCAAAATAGGTGTGTGACGAGAAGTTACTATTCATTTCAAATGGTACGTGTAAGTAAATCAACCGTTCTTTCGTAAGCAAATCAGCCGTTCTTTTTCTTCTCTTTTCATTTATATTTTTCATTTTTCACCCCTAAACTTTATTTTGTTTTACATTCTTTCCCAAACTAATTTTAAGGCGGCCGAGAGTGTAGTGGTAACCAGCGGTTCTTTTACTTCAATTTTTCTATTTCACTTTCATTTGTTTTTCCATTTTCAGTCCCTGCGTTTTATTTGTTTTTACATTCTTTACCATAAACTAATATCTAACCGGTTTCATTTGTTTTTTACATTCTTTACCATAAACTAATTTTGATCTAACCGTTATAATTTTAAAGTTAAATTGTTGGTATTTTGTATGTTATAAATTTGGTCCCTTAGTATATTTTTAAGTTACACTTTTGGTCTCATATATAATTTGTTTTTATAGTTTTCGTTTTTATAAATATTACTTTTTATCATTATCATTTCTTAAATAATTTTCATTTATGTAATGTGCGAATTAAGATACAATGTCAATTTATTTTTACATGCATCCTCCATAAATAATTGTTTCGGTCAAAATTTTATTTTATACTTTTGTGGTTTACTTTGCAAATGTATTCTCCGCCGCAACGCGCGGGGGTGACAAAATACTAATTTTCTTTAAAAAGAAAGAGAGAGAAAGGAAAGACTATCTAGACAGGTGGCAAAATCTATCAAAAAAAAGAGTCCCACATGGACAAATTACAAAGGTAGAAACAAGCCTGGGGTCTTTCATTATAAATGCAATGGCCAATATCAACAACACAAAAAAAGGCCCATATAATTCAGACCCAACTTAAAAGGGGTTAATTTAATTCCCTGCTCGATGTGGGTTTAGTCGAAAGTAAAGTTTTGTTATTGTTTATTTATTTATTTATTTTTTATTTTGGAGCCAACATTTAAATAAGGTTAACTGATTGAATCCAATCTTCTCTTGAAACAATAGGTTCTAATTTGTTCATGCATAAAATGTTTTTCTTTTTCAAAAATATCGGAAACTAGTGAGTTTCAGGTTGAATCAGTCTGTTTTTTAATACTATGGTAAAAAACCAAGACGAAACTAATAATCAACAACAAAATTGTTGGTTCGATAGTTATAATTAATGATAACATTGTTTGCATATATATGTTTATTATAAGCCCACTTGTTTGGAGCTCTTTTTGATTTTAGCGCATTAGGGTTAGGGTTAGCTTAGTTTGCCTTTATATTCTCCATCTTGTTGTTCTTTGCTTTTATGCTTTTCAAGAACCTTGTAATCTCTCTCTTTCATTAATCATATGATTATATTATCATGCTATCAGAGCTGATTCGTTTGATGTTTGTTTGTGTTGATGTACGTTTGCTTGTTAGTGTCCATTTGTTATTGTTGTTAGTTTGTTGTTGTTGTTTGAATTCTAGAGTTTGTTGTTCGATTTCTTGGTGCTCGATTGATTGTTTCCGCTGGTTTGTTGTTCTTGTTCTATGATTGCTTGTCCATTATTGTGGTTATTTTTCTGTTGACATCATGACTGGAAATGACGATTCCCTTCAGTCAATCAGTACTTGATTGGATAGAAAGAATTACGCTTATTGGAGCTATGTTACGAAGAACTTCCTTCTTGGGAAGAATATGTGGGGCTTTGTCACTAGGACTAAAGTCATTACTTGGATTAACAATTTTGTTACTCAGTCTATTAGTATGCAATTAGCTATATATGACACATCAAAGGAAGTGTGGAACCATTTGAAGAGACTGTATACTCAGTCCAATTTTGCTAAACAATATCACTTAGAATATGACATTCGCGCCCTTCAGCAAAATGATATAAGTATTCAAGATTTCTATGCTGCTATGTCTGATTTATGAGTCTAGCTGCCTCTTACAGAATCTTAAGAGTTAAACGATTTTGCGCCTTATATTGCTAGGAGGGAAGAACAACGTTTGGTTTAGTTTTTGATGGCATTGCGTTTTGATTTTGAAGGTCTATGTGGAACGATTCTTCTGTTAGTGTATCCCACATCGGTGTGACACGGTTTTATAAGTGGCTATATATATTGGAGTCCCCCTTCTCTCTACTAGGGCTCTTTTGGAGAGACAATTCTGGGCTCCACACATATTTACATGGTATCAGAGTCGGCGTCCTACACCCCCGTGGTTAAGCACATCCCTATTTATCCTCATCGAGCCTTCGACTATGAGGAGGAGTGTTAGTGTATCTCACATCGTTGTGACACAATTTTATAAGTGGCTATATATGTTGGAGTCCCCTTTCTCTCCACAAGGGGTATTTTGGAGAGACAATTCTGGGCTCCACACATATTTACATCTTCATCGTTCCCCTTTTCCCTCAGTGGATTCTATTGTTCATGAGTTGATTGCTGAAGATACTCGTATCAAGTCTCACACGGATAATGGGTCTTGTAACGCCTGGTTCCTTGTATGTATTTAAATTTATAATTTATTCAATTTTATAGAGCAACTCGACGAGTTGGTGGCCCCGAACTCGTCGTGTTGAAATGATATGGACCGCGTAATTTAAGTGACCAACTCGACGAGTTGTGAGGTATCAACTCGACGAGTTGGCTGGAAGAAATGAAACCCTAATTCCGGGGTTTTGCACCATATTTAAACAACTTAAACCCCAAAAAGTTGGCCTCATTTCCAGCCTGCATTGTCCTAAACCCTAACCTCGAAACCCTAAGGCACTTTTGAGTGTTTGTGAGCTATTTTGAGTGTTTTTGTGTGTGTTTGAAGCTATTGGAAGAAAGGGAAGCTTGGTGATACAAGAAGGATCTGTTAGATCTCAAATCCTTGCTTCATTTTCGACACTTTTCTGGTATAAAGTTCTAACATTGCACAATATTTGATTGAATCTCTTTTTGGGTTAGTTTTGAGGCTTTTAGCCATGTTTGGGTGATTGGTGGGGTTGAAGGTCATCCCAAGTGCTATCTCTTCAGATCTATGGTCCTCTTGAGCTCTTATGGCATAAAGGTGCCAACTTTATCGTCCTAAGAGCTCCATGCATCCTTTAAGCCTTTGCTTTGGCCTTTTAAGCTTCATTTGGCCATGCATGTGAGTAAAGTTGCAGTCTTTACGTGACCTTTTAGCCTTTAAGGTCTGCATCTGTGTTCATGAGCTCTATCTTGAAGATATGGTGGTTTTTGGATTAAGACATAAGCCTTTTAGGATTAGGGTTTGAGCTTAATGCCTTTGGGGTGGTTCTTAATGGGTAAAGTTGGAAACTTTACCATTCTAGACGTATTATCAGTCTAGATCTGGAAGATAGGGCTTCGGGTTGAAGAATATTGGCTTAATGCATTAAGTGGGTTGGCTGATCTAAGAAATCGGCGAGTTCTTAAGGGAACTCGGCGAGTTGGATCGAAATATCACGATTTTGTGCTTAATGGAAACTCGGCAAGTTGTGGGATAACTCGACGAGTTGAGTCAACTCGGAGCGTTGACTTTGACTTTGACTTTGGCAAAGTTTGACCTTTAAGGGGTTTTGAAATATTGATCGGTATCTAAGGGATTGTTTCTGTTTAGGGGTTGAGTAGAGCTGTTTCTGGGGCGGGGATTTATCCAGCTATCTTTCAGCCTTTGAGGTGAGTTTTCCTCACCAGGTTTTGCGGGTCTAAGGCACCAAGGTCGACCCTTGTTTGATTATGTGGTTATACTTGTTGTCTGTGTGATACATGTATGTTTTTGTATGTGTATGTCTATTGGGCGAGGCCCGTTATATGAGTGTAGGCGGGGCCCGTATCTCATTTTGATCCGAGTGTGGGCGGGGCCCGTTTCTCACTAGGCGGGGCCTGTTTCCGAGTGTGGGAGGGGCCTGTATCTCAATATTATTGGAGTGTGGGCGGGGCCCGTATCTCATTATTGCTTGATATGTCTGGTATGCGGTATTCTGGGGGAAAATCACTAAGCTTTGTTCTTACGGTTTTCAGTTTATGTTTCAGGTACTTCTGGTTCCAGAGGGAAGAGCTCGGGATGACTGCATCGCACACACCATTGGATTCCACACTTGCTGTTTTACTATGATTTTATGACAATTATACATTGGTTTTTATTTGATATGATTGGATGTTATTGGAATCACTATATTATCTATTATTAAAAACAAAATTTTTGGAACTATGTTTTTGGGTGTTACAGGTCTAAAGCAATCTCCATTCCTACTTCCACTCCTGTGGTGCTTGCTTTTTCCACTAATCAGTCTCGTCAAAATCCAATGGTTGCTTATGATGAATGTTCCTTCTGCAAATATAAAAATCATTGGAAAGCTCAGTGTCCATTGTTAGTTAACAAGGGTAAATCTGGTCAGACTTAGTCGGGACAACAACATAGGTCTGGTCAGCAGAAGTTTCGGCCACATTCTTCTGGTGCTTCTCCATGAACACTTCGCCCTCCACAGTTTGATACTGCTAATGATCCATCAGCTGATACTGAGTCAGTTGGTAACATGCCACCTTCTGCATTGGATCCCAAGGTTTTTGAGAGTTTCAGACAGTATTTGGCCTCCAATCCTACTGCCATGTCTGCATCTATGTCTCATTTTGGTCCAACTTCATCTGGTACCGCAGGTATACCTTCATCTTTGTGGATTTTAGATTATGGTGCAACCCATCACATGT